TTTTAGCATTTTTATAATTTATTATCTTATATAATTTCATTTACATTTTCAATTTTATAGTTATCATTTAATCCTTAATTTAAATATTTAGCTTTTATTTTTTTACTTTTAAGGGGTTTTTGTGTAATTTTGAATTAGAATATAATATTTTATTGATTATAATATTTTATTATATATTTTCTCGTAATATAAAAATATTATGACTTTTATTAACTTTATTGAGTTTTATTAACAAGGAAGATATAGTATAAAATATATAATTTTAAAACAGGATTTGACATTCTTTTTATTAGATGTACTCTTAAATTTCAAATTTGAAGTTTTTGAAATTGTTTTTGAGTTTCTAAGTTAGTGGATTCAGGTCGGGAGAATCCTCCATCTTTGCAATTTATGAAATAACCAAATGTTTGTATTTAAATGTATCATTAAAGATAGTAAGAATATAGATATTAGTTTGACCAAAAAAAAATGTAAACAATACGTCTACATTTTTGTTTACAGTTTATATTTGGACAGCCTGAACCACCTTCAGGAATACTAACCAATGAGGGGGAGTTAAGCCATCATAAAATCTGTTTGAGCATTATTGACCACGATAATTAACACTTCTAAAAGCCTTAAACTAAAAAAGTATTATAATCTAATATACCTTTTTTTTTTTAAAGTTCAATCTCAAAATAAAAGTTAGATTTATTGAGAGTTACAAGTGTTATTAGGAGTTTCAATGGCTTCTCAAAAGTTCTTTTTATAACAACATTATTGTATTCTTTTTCTTCATTTTTATTATATTTGTTTTGTTCAATGGTGAGAACACTAAATGCAAATGCTTTGATTTCTCTCCTTCCAAATTTCATGCAAAGAGGCTTGCCATCCTATGTTGAATTCATTCAAGGAATCTTACTTTCAATTTATAGTTTTCTAAATAGTGCAAGAGTGCATTTAGAAACAACTATTTAATGGATTAACATAACGTAAATTTAGTAGTGCAATAATATCTTGTGCATATTTACTCGAACTCTTTTTTTTTCTAATTTTAAAATATCTCAGATCTTTAGAAATGTCTAGATTAATCTTTAAGGAAAGGTAAAGTCCATGGATATATTTTTTTTTCTCTGGACATTCAAATGGATTTTAAAATATAAACACATATCCATGTTAGATGACCAAAAATAATTATGATTTAGTTTTATAAAACAGAACAATAAAAACTGAAATGTGTTAGCGTCCCAATCCATATCTGCTTACCATTCAAGCACAATCACCATGTCAGATTTACTCAAACTCAAATCGACTAAATGTCTAAAATTCTTTTTTAACCAGATGAGCCAATCATTCTTAAATCATGAGTCTAATTATTATTATTTTGGAGCTTTGATACATCACTCAGTCAATTTCCAGGGCATCACAATCATATATTCATGCATTTTTTAGAAAGATTTTCCTTGTTGAAGGAAAAGGAATAATTTACTGATTAGTTAATTTGTATGATTTTTTTTGAACAGGTTGAAATTTTGTAATTCAATTTTGTTTTGAACAATGCGGAAGATATCGTCCGACCCAATCTTTTAGCAAAAACAGAAGATATTGTGCGAATATATATACTAGTGATATCACGTCATAAGAAATATATAAAATGTAAACGAGTTGCTAAATATATCAAGCTACTTTTATAGTGTTGCGAGCTATATTTAAATAATTCAGTCACAAAAATAGAATTATATTTAAAAACTTCCTAATTACTTGATTTCAGAGAGAGAAACACAGTAGTATAATATTTAGACGCGTTATGACATGCAAGAGATCCAAACGTGTTTGTACGAACACGTTGATGTACTATACAACACAAGTTCTCCACTGCCAGTGTTATACAACAAAAACAATTATTTACATTTTCCTTCTTTAATCCATAACTCAATTAACAAATTCGAATTGATATTTATGTAATAGTTCAAAAAAAAAGATTTCCCTACCGAAATTATATTTTCCAACATATAATAGGAAACGTGCTTTTTTATTTATTTATTAGGATGGTAAAGCAGGAACAAAAAATTACTCATGAGTAAGTACTTGAAGTTATTAGATATCTATACTATTATTATTACATATCCATGTGAAGTCATTACTTGCATTTTCTTCGTTGAAAATTTTAGCCACATCATTGTAAATTCGTAATTTTTTTTATTTCATGAACAGTTGATGAAAAATTCAACAATCTCTTTAAATAAATACAGATTCATTAATTTAAATATGCTTATCCGGCCAAACTTATGTGCATTCACACGCTGATCACGCCATAATGATAAGGTCCAGTTCATACTTATATGGCCATGACAATGAGATAAGATTCTTGATATTAGTTCCTTACCTCTTCCCGTTAATTAATAAAAGTAGTTTATAGTTTAATCTTCTGAAACTATATATGGACTTAACTGATAACCCTTTTGTGTTATTGGAAAAATTTACCGCTCTCCTGCGAATCTGCGACAAAAGGTGTTCTGATAAATAATCATTGAAATAAAATTAGCAGGAAGAATACACTATACAAAACATTATGGATAATATTGCAACTTCTTTGTATGCCTTTATATCTTACTAATATCCATATTTTGGTGTCACTATATCTTAGAATTATTATCTATATCATCGTCACTTAGCACAAAAGCCTTTGTTTTTGTTTTTTTGTGTCACTAATTATAGATTCAGTATATTTTCATAGTAATTTTAAATGACGATTCACAAAATAAAATAAAAACCATCTAAAAGATTAATGTACGTAGTTAGTTGATATATTTATATATATGTTACATGTAGTATGTTCTATATATATCATTTCCTTGAAAAAATATCATGAACAAAAATTAAAATGCTTTGTACAATGTATATGAAACAGGATATTGTTCACCGTATTATAAACAACTTTTTACATCTACATTATAGTGGCTGAAAGCGCATTTGTACGAAAATTCTTCCACTTTAGCAAGTGTATTGACATTACTGGATTGTAATAGAAATGATACATATGACGTTCGACTTACATTGAAAGTCTCTAGGTTTGTTTTATATCGGTAAAAAAAATTATATTGATAAAGTGATTACGTGCTATAAACACAAGTGATGATTTCCTTAATTAATTTCCATATCTAATTAGATGCTTCTTAATTATTGGGGCTCCAACATAAATTTGATGGTTTACACTTGCATTATCAGCCCAAGCTCTGGAGCAATTGACTACAAATTTTATATTCATACGGTCTTGGAACTTGTGAACGAATGCATTTGTATATATGGGGACATCATTAATTTTTCAGCAGAAATGGGTGCATTTTTAAAAATATGAATGGCTGTATAATTAATAATTGTGACATTAGTTGTAAATATGATCAAGAACACAAAAGTGCCTCGAAAATTAAAAAGACACATGGAGTATGCAAGTTGTAAGTTTGTCTAATAATATCGCGTACTGTACTAGTTAAGTGGTACTACTACCGTTTTTATGATCTTCAATCATTATTGAATAATGCGTGAATGGGCTTAAAGATATGTACGTATATAATGAAGTTTCACTTTTGCAAATATAGGAAATGAATTATCAACCAACATAGCTAAATAGCTTCCACTTGACACAGACTCTCATGCACAAAATATAATAAAATACAAAAGACAAAGACACTGAAATAAACAAATGTAAAAAGAGATAACACGACAGTCTGTCCGAATCATATGCGCACTTATACTTACATGTAAATGTATAATCTACTCATTTAGATGACCATTTTAAAATGGTTAAATCTATTAACATTACCCTTTACAAATGATAAGAGTAACCAAATATATATGCATTCTGAAAGTATAAATAGCAAATAATCGGCTTGTTCACTTGGAAATGTGCTAAGTATCTTGTGTTAGAAACCTAACATCTCAGATTTATCCGTTTATGTGACCATTCGACATGTATATCTTAATTTTCATCACGAATGTGTATGACGTCCGTGGATAAATTCTTAAGAGATTTGTTGGCTTGGGTATATCAACCCATCAAGAGAGCAACTCCAAAACCCAATTAGGTCTAAAAGTCCGTTATAGCAGGCAAATAAAGCATGTGATAGATTCAAATTGTTGCTACGCGTGCAAGTGCGCAACTTAGTTATTAATGTTCAAGTTGCTTTTGCTGATTTATTGACAGATAACTTCAGATATCAAGAGATTTGCAGTAACCCAATTTGATACTTTAATAAACATGTGTCTTGGAGCATTTCGTTACACACAAGGTTTATGTATCTTCTTTATATTCACTGAAGACTCAAACACAATAATCTAAACATAACCAAAAGAAAAAACAAAACAGAAACAATGATAAAAAAAAATTCAAAACCAAGCTAGTTAGCTGGTTAGAAAAGCCGATACGGACTACGTTCATGGAGCCGTTACCCGTGAACCTTACTATGACTTGGGATTTTTGATCAATGTGGTGAGTGGGTTTGATATTTCCTGACATGAGGAACATAATAAACCTAGAAAGCCCTTTGGATTTGCTAATTTGGGTCTTTCTAAAAGAAGAATCTATAATAAGCGAAGTTTATTTTGTCTATTTGTTAATGGGCTATATAAATGGGCTTTAATAGTCCCTTTCTCAAAAAGCCCCTTTTTTCATTTTCGGACAACCCGACATCGACATACTTAACACATGTTGTACGATGTTAAAAAATATTCATAAGGTTCCACTGTTTGAAGACATTATTGTACAACTTTTCTCTAATAAAAATGAAAAAAGTAGAAACGAATAATAGTTAATAATAATTAAATTACCACCAATTAATTTCACAGAGAATAATATTTGCATTAACTTGCCGGAGAAGGTGAGATTGAGAAAGAACAATTCTTCTTCTTTCTTTCCTTCTTCTTCCTTCAACTTCAACTGTTCAAAGATTCTTTCAGGGGAAGTAGAAGAAGAAGAAGAAGACGAAAGATCCATTTAACAGAATCTATCTTTTCTCTCTCCAATGGCGGAGGGCGAAGAGAAGAACGGAATCATTGATTCAATGCCCCTTTTCGCTAAGGAGCTTATTGCCGGCGGCGTCACCGGCGGTATAGCTAAAACCGCCGTTGCTCCACTAGAACGGATCAAGATTCTTTTCCAGGTATGGAAGATCCCATCAAACTTGAATCGTCTCGTCCCTTGGCTCAGTTAGGTTTACCTGAGTCATCAAATCTGAAGGCTTTTGTAACTGTTCTTTCTCAGACAAGAAGGGACGAGTTTAAACGGATAGGACTAGTTGGATCCATCAACAAGATTGGCAAAACTGAAGGTTTAATGGGTTTCTATCGGTAGGTTATACTACGTTGTCTTAAGTTTTAGATACACTTCAAGATTCTTAACATTGCTTTTTTGGGGTTTCTTTGACAGTGGAAATGGTGCGAGTGTTGCTCGGATAGTTCCTTACGCAGCTCTTCATTACATGGCTTACGAGGAGTACAGGAGATGGATCATCTTTGCTTTCCCAGACACTACTCGTGGACCATTGCTTGATCTTGTTGCTGGATCTTTCGCTGGTGGTACTGCTGTTCTCTTCACTTATCCTCTTGATCTTGTCCGGACAAAGCTCGCTTATCAGGTAATCTCTGCTTCAGATGCTGTTGTGTGTTGTTGACGTCTTGACTTAAAGCTCATAGAGAATCCAGCAGTGCAGGTTGTTGGTTCAACGAAAGCACAAGCAAAAGCTGTTACTATTCCCTTGGAACAAATCGTGTACAGAGGAATCACTGATTGTTTCTCGAGGACATATAGAGAATCTGGATTCCGTGGCTTATATCGTGGTGTAGGTAACATGTTAAACCATGTCTTAGAAATCACTACATCTTCTCTAATCTCTAGAATCACTGAATAGTTGCTTGTGTGTTTTAGCTCCTTCTCTGTATGGGATCTTCCCTTACGCTGGTTTGAAGTTTTACTTCTACGAGGAGATGAAACGCCATGTCCCTGCAGAACATAAGAAAGACATTTCTCTGAAACTCGTATGTGGATCAGTTGCTGGATTGCTTGGTCAGACCTTAACGTACCCTCTAGATGTTGTCAGGAGACAAATGCAGGTGTGATCTTGAATCTTCCATAAAGTGATCCTGAGTTAGTACTATAACTGAAACTCCTTGCAGGTTGAGAGACTATACGCAGCCGCTAAGGAAGAAACAGTAAGAAGAGGGACAATGCAAACACTTGTCAAGATTGCTAAAGAAGAAGGTTGGAAGCAACTTTTCTCGGGGCTTAGCATCAATTACCTTAAGGTCTGAGAGTAGTTTCACTGATCTGTCTTTGTTTCAGGATCAGTGCACGTTTAACATAACAAACTCTTTCTCTTGTGTGTTTCTCTAGGTTGTACCATCAGTGGCAATTGGATTCACAGTATATGATGTTATGAAGCTGCACTTAAGAGTCCCTTCACGAGAGGAAACAGAGGCAGAAGATTTAACAAAACGGAAAAGGAACGCTCTAAGCTAATTCTAAAGGTCCATCCATGGCCTGATTCTTTGTGGTGTTTAAAACCACAGAATATTAGTTCAAAGTGTACATTCCAATTTTTTTAGTAGAGGTTATGTTCCTCCAAATAAAGAGTGTTAAAATTCCAACTGAAAACAATATTAATCATATATGTAAATATGTAATTGCTTATAGTTTTTGTTCTTTTAGGGATTTTGTTGCATTATGTAACATTCCGATATCAATGATATCAGTGACAGTGTATTGAGTTTGCTATGTTTTGGCTGAAACAACAAACTCAGGATCATTGGTGGAGAATGAAAAGGCTTATGGATTCAGTTAACTTGTACTTAGTTATGTAACTCATACAACCAAAGCTGCGTAGAGTTAGAAAATATAATAAGGTAAGACAACATATTGGCTTGGTAGATAACTAAAGGAGGTACTACTCTAATGCTTCCTTATTCAAGATGTGATTCTCATACCCTTGTGCTCTTCGCATCTCTTCCGCCCTTTTACTGGAGGTTTCTCGCATACTGATCCATTGTACAGCTTTACACCGCAGACTACTTGAGATACTGTTGCTGATGTCTGAACATTTTCAGATGATTTGTGGTCCAGAGTTTCATCTTTGTGCTGCCAACATATTCTGCTTCCTTTAGGAGCACTTCTCGTACAAGGCAGGCCATTCTTCGTTGTAGCTTCACATAAAAGAATCTGACCTGGTTCCTCTTGGTTCATTGAGCTTGTACGTGTCTCCGGTTTGGACTTTTCCTCTTTGAGGATTTTATCACGTTCTGTTCGGTTGAGCAGAAAGAAGAAGGCATTGACTCGCATTCCCTTGTGATCCTCACATCGTTTTCTCCTTGAAACAGGTTTGCTTCTGCAACGTACCATGTCAGGTAAAATCACTCCACATATCTCCTCGTTCTCTTCACATTCTTCTCTTGCAGTAGGAACTTCACACTGTGTTTTTTTAACGGGAGGAACGCATGAGATTCTCTGCCCTTTATGCTCTGTGCATCTCTTTCTTCCTATGACTGAAGCTGTTGAGCAAGTAGTGCCATCTTCTTGTAAGACTCCACAAACAGTAGCAGAATCAGACCCATCAACAACGTCGTCATGTCTCTCTAAAACCGGTTGAGGTCTGGACCTACTGAGTCTAAGTACCGATGCATGAACATTATTATTAATATTCTCCTTAGCTTCAACACAGTTGACATCTCTCTCTTCTGCAAAACCATGCTTCTCCTCTTTGCTTCTGTTGCCACTTTTCTTCTGAGTAATCGTTTGAGACACAACCTGTTCTCTTGGGCTCATAAACTGGGGAACAGATCTACCATAAGACCGTAGCCGAGTTCTAATGTTTTCGGTTTGACCAAGAGAAGCGTTAACGTCATGAATTTTAACAGCTACACCTAGACCTTGGATAGATTCTTGGCCTCTGTATCTACCTACAACATCTTTTCCCACTCTCAAATCTTCCCTATCCTTAGCTCCTACTAGAATCTGTGTTCATTATTAAGATTAACATCAAAAAAAGATTATGTTTTGGCAACTTAATAACGTAAGAGAAAGAGCTTAGCTTGAGACTAAGGCACCTAATTAACTGATAACCAACAATAACACAAGTTTCAATGTGATGAAGAAGATAAAGGTGTGACCTTTGGAGCTAAACCACGAGAGATCAAGGAGTAGTCAGCTACATTCCTCCGAAGCTCTGCAGTTTCTGGAAAGGGTTTAGGGAGAAGCATGGATCGAGCAAAACCCTGGAAGAAAAAAACACAGAAACATGAATGAAATTACAAAGAAATCTAACAAAGAAACGTTAAAAATGGGATCTTTAAATCAAATTTCAACGAGCTTCTTGAAACCCCCTGAGAGGGGGGAGTGAGTTACCTGCCATTTGGAAAAGACAGCGTCGGGTTTGTTTCGGATGTAATCGTCTCTCTTATACATTTTGTGACCACACACTGGCCAAGGAAGCGGCGTCGCCGGTAACTGATCGGATTTGGATGGAGAATTTTTTTTTGCAGAGAACTTTTTTTTTTTTTCTTTTTCAAATTTTGAAATTCTCGCGGCCTCTGCAGAAGAATAATTGATGAGAAGTTATTATAGCATTTGACTCTCATAATTTTTTATTAATATTTATCTATAAATGTTTTTAAAAATTTAAGATATTTAATGTTTTTCAAATGATTTTTTGTTTGTTGATATCTACAGTTTTAAATTTAATTAATATATATGTATATATTAGTAAAGTGTTGGATTTTTGCGTTAAGATTTCGTTTGACGTGGCTCTTAATTGACTACCGTTGAATATTTGGACTCTATTTTGAACTGAGATCTTGAGAGTAATTGATTGTAACCATATTCTGAGATAATGAGGAAAATTATATTAGAAAATCATAACAAATTTAATGAAAAACTAAGAAAATTATAATGAGAAATTACAATAAATTAATGACAATAAATAAAATATAATGATCTAACATAAAATTGTACATGACGTGTGGTTTTTGACCCAAAATAAACATCCTCCTTTATTATTAAAATCTATGGATTGTCTATCAAATAGAGGTATTAGGTTATCTAACTTTTGTCAATTTTTTTAATAACTTTTGTGTATTATATGTTATTTATCTACGCTAAATAAGTTTTCCTCATTCAATCCCTAAAAAATAAAATAAAAATAAAAACAAACCAGAGAAAGCTAGCTAGGGTTTCTTCAATTCACGACGGCCATGCATCCAAAGTAAGTTCTTTCCGAGTCTCTACATGGTTCTTGATTTCCTTACACCCAATCTCTAACCAGATTCTTATGATATCATCGTCGATTTTACATTAATGTTTTCGAAGCAGTTATAAACGTAGACTCTCCAATAAGAAACGAAGGCGGGCAGAAGAGCGTACAGATAAGATCAGTGACTTGCCTGATGCTTTGCTGCTTCTGATATTGTCCTTGCTTCCGACAGTAGATGCCGTAAGAACTTGTGTTTTGTCGAAGCGATGGGCATCTCTTTGGGAATTTGTGCCTAGACTTGACTATAGTTACACCAACGATAAAAAAATGTTGGACGAGTTTGTTCATAAGTTCTTTATATCACGTAAGACGTGTCTTCTAGAGAGCATGCGACTTATACTTGGATCAGATCGTGACGCTCTTAACATCCCCGTTTGGATTAAGTACGCGGTTGAACATGGTTTGCGTAAGCTAGAACTCGATTATTACACGGAAAAAGAAAATATCCGATTGCCACGTTACATCTACGCATGTAAAACACTCGAGGTCTTGAAACTTAAGTACAGTGTTCACGTAGATGTTCCTAACTCTCATGTTTCTTTCAAGTCCCTAAAGATCCTACACCTTCATCTTGTGTACTTCAAGGACGATGATTCAGTGCGTAGGCTTTTCTCAAGTTGTCCTAATCTTGAAAAACTGGATGTTATACGATATATGGATAAGGTGGTAAACTTCACTGTTGAAGTACCATCTTTAAAGAGTTTGACAATATATGATTCTAGTGATGGAGATGGTCTAAGAGGGTATGTGATAAATGCTCCTTCTTTGAATTACTTTTCCATTAGAGGAATGAGAGATTATAATTTTTCTATTGAGAATACTCCGGAGCTAAGAGAGGCAAAGATTATTGATGTTTCTTATATAAATCCCGAGAAGATTCTTCTACCTCTTGTCTCATCAGTTAAACGTCTCTCCTTGTCTTTATCACCTTTGGAGGTAAATTAATGTATTATTTTGAGTTCACACCATTTCAAACTTTTTCACTTTTGATAACTGATATGAGATTTGAGGGGTTATATATATATAACAAGAACAGTCATCAATTTTTTTTTTAATCGCAAGGCTAATGTTTCACCAGACTTTGCCAAGATCTGGTCAGTTATACATTTTAAAATATTTATTGTTTGGCAGGCTAGGTACACTGATCGCATTGTCTTTAATGAGCTTGTATATTTGGAGCTAAGTACTAGTAAAACCGAGTGGTGGAAACCACTTATGGTTTTGCTTTCGAATTCTCCTAAACTACAAGTTCTCAAGCTCACTAGAGATGTAAGAAACTTACTTAAAACTTTGCTTTACTTTGTAGGTTAACTTTTGCACTTTAATGAGTCTAAAACACTTGTGTTCTTTGATTTAATCACAGGAGTTCGGAAAAGGCAACACGGGGCGGATGTATAGCCCACAATTTTACAAACCGGATAATGTTCCACCTTGTCTGTTACTCTGCCTACAAAGATTTGAGTGGGAAAAGTACAATGGACTATATGAAGAAGAGAGTCAAATTGCAATGTACATACTAACAAACGCTAAACATTTGAAGGAAGCAAGATTTTCGACGAAAAACTGTACTCTGAAAAAGAAATTTGAAATGTTGAAGGAGTTGGCTCGTGAGCCTAGGGCCTCACCTTCATGTCAGTTTTTCTTTGAGTAAAAAGTAAAAGAGGTTTCTTAGATTAGATGCAACTCATGCAATTTCGTCAATGTACAATAAATTTTTTTAATCCTTTCATACCTTAGTTCAAACTTTTGAGATTCACATAATGGTTCTCACTTTCAGATACCAGTGAATTTGTAAAACAAAGTGTTTCTTATTTACTAGACTTTTGACTTTTTTTTATCTACACAAGTTATGATGCAACAAATGCAAATGGCAGTTAACATATATATACATAGAAACAATCAAATAAATAAAACTTTTCAATCAGATCCAGACATTGGTTGATTATAGGCTTGAAGTTGAATCTTCAACTTGCTCAGAAACCGAAGCATGGTCACTGCTAATTCCTACATTATGTCTCTCTATAGCATCTCTGAGTTTCTTGAACTGCAAAAAAATATGTTTGCAGAAGCTAATTAGACTTAGAGTACACGCAAGATAGACAAAGTGGCATTTGAATAAAGGAGACAAGACGATAAGGGAGCAAACCTTGGCAAGAGAGCAGGAGAAGGAATCAACTTGGCCATCAGAGCCACGGTATAAGTGGAAGTATGGTAACACCTTGACGTTCAAGCTTTTGCAAAGTGACTTGTTCTCGTCAAAGTTTACTTTAAGGAACAAGATTTCAGGGTGTTCTTCCGCTGTTTTGCAGAGCTGGAAAACAGTTAAAAAAAAAGGTTTTACCTTTTTGCATCAAAGATGAAACGAGAGGTGATTCAACTTTACCTTTGGGAACATAGCTCGGCAAGAAGCACACCAAGTTCCGTAAAAATCAACGATGACTAATCTATCTCCAGCATCTTTCAAAGCGTTCAGAAACTGTTCGGTTGAGGTAATGTCGATCATGTTTGGCCCTGCTTTCTTCTCCCACCATTTTGGCTGTTCTGTTTCAGCAGATAAAGCTTGTACCTATCCCCCAACAACGAACAACAATGTTTCATCTCTTAGCTTCAACACACAATAACACTTAAAAACAAATACAACACCACACACTTAATCAATTGAAGTGATACAGTGTGAACTTAGACACACGACTAAATGTAATCGTTACATCTCTCCCAGTGGACCCAACAAGACCACATCAATAGTAAACCTTAATCAATGGCACTAGAAAACCCTAATTCCTAATCGACCACTGGCATTAGAATTAGCAGATTCTCAAACATGGGTTCTCTAGTGTCGGACATAAACTTGAAACCGATCACAAAAAGTTACGAAATTGAAGTACCTTTTGAGAGAGAGACTGCTTGCTCCTTATTGATAAAACTAGATTTGAATAAGACGAAGTAAGAGAGGACGAGGTTGAGAATGATAGACCGTAGAATCTGTTGTATGAGTTTAGAAAGGGTGTGATTCCGATTGGTGGAGTAATCACAGTCCGAGTAGAGGAAGAAAGCGATCGAAAAGATGTCGGAAGAGACATGAATCGCGCAAAGTGAAAGACTTCGCCTTTTTTCACTTCTGTTTTGCTTTTTATTTTTATTTTTAATTTTATTTTCCCATTGAAGATACTTATTTCAAATCAACCCCTTGAGTTCTGGTGAGTTTCACACTTCTTCCAGTTTTCTATTTTCGTACTTTTGTACCCAAGAGAATTGAAAAAATAGTTTATAAAGAAATTCAAAATACTTATAACAACCTAGAAATAAACACTGTGAAAAGGATCGCAACAACAAAAATGGAAGAGACCAGACACACAGGCTGGTTCAAGTGCAATTACAATGTGTCACACTCACACCACATAGGAAACAAGGAATCTCTAATACATTAAAGATAGTAAGAAGCATTGGGAACTTTAAAGGCCGGCATTCTATTGGAGAAGCTGAATGTTCTGCCTTGATATGGACAATGATGATGGTATAGTTATTAATTACACAAAACACGTGAACTTGAAAACATCTATATTGAAGGATTATGGTCTTAAACAGAACAGCTTTTGACCTCTCTTATAAATAAATTTTTCAAAAATCAAAATTGAGTTTATGGATTCATATTTTAACTGTAAACAGCAAAGAAAATGGTTTTACAACTTGACCAGATACATATAGAGATTTGGATAAATTAATGTAACTTTTATCATAATTCCCAAATTTAAAACAAATGAAAAAAAGTGAAAATCAAGAACAGCCACATTATCGGAATATACCAAGCTCCATACATAAATATTCTCACTATTAGAAACTAATAAGCCCCATAAGTTTGAGCTGACTGATACTAAGAGAACAAAACTTTTTTTTTTAAGAGAAAAGAACAAAACTTAATCATAACATATGAGGGATTATGGTATAGTTTATAAGAATATTTCCCTTATTTCTTAAAAAGGGAGGTTTAATAAAAACAAGGATCACCCGTGAACCATTCCGTACGATAGAGCCATTAGTAAAATGGCAGCCTCTTTCTCATCTTGAGGGAAAACTTTCTGATAAGCTGAGCTTTTGCTCAAGACCATCGCTAAATCATCATAATAAAAGTTGTTCGACATACTGGATTTGCCTTTGTTCTCCATATCTTTGGATGTTGCGTTCTCCATCACCGAGGTACTCATGCTCTTACATTTCTTTACCTTTGGAGCCAAAGGAGAAGAGAGATTGTTAACTTCATTTGATCTCTTGTTCTTGCTTTGCATCTTCTTCTTCAGGAGAGGTGGTGACAACAAGTACTCAGAGTTTGTGGTTGCGGCTGCAGCTGCCATAGCGGCCTGCCTCGCCTTCCTTTGCCTTATCCCACAGGCGTTACATAGAGACTGTAATAACAAAACCAGAATGAGAGTTAATTAATTTAACAACTATTATATTGTGAGATAAAACTTTTACAAAGTCTCATTTAAAGGATTTTGTTAACCTAGTCAGAATTACTACCTAAAATTTATATAACGTACTAGGTAATTGTTGTTAAGTGATTTATTAGTCTTATAAAAACACATCAAATTTCTGAGAGGGCTTATATTCGTGATATATAATATGAAATTAATCTTTACGCATTTGTTGAATTAGTATATGTAATTATGTGTGGTTGGTTACCTTGGGACCTCTCGGGCCACTTCTCCAAAGAGGAGTCTTGGTCGTGTTACAATCGGAACAAGTCCTAACCACGCAACTGTTGCTTCCATTATAACCAGTCTCGTTGACAATATTATTGTACTGATTTGTCGAGACTAGTTGATCATGGTGATCTCTTTCGAAATTTCTTTGGTTCATGGCTTGGTCGTTATTAACGTGTTGTTTGTCGTTGTGATCGGCGGTGGTGATCATCGTCTTCATCTTCATCAATCTCACATGTTCATGATCATGATGATTCTCTTTCTTCCTTATCGTCAATTTTATTCGTGTCTCCTTCTTTGGCACCACTTGATCGCTGGATGGTGATCCACCATTAGATACAAACTTCTTCATCTGAAATTTCCATAAAACCATTGGAAATAATTTGGTTAGTTAAATTTTCATATATGAATACTATAAAATTTCTATGTGGTTATCATCAATAATATTGGTATATACTTGTTATTCACTTCAATTTTATACCTCGAGGGATTGGGAGAGATGGGGATCAAGAAAACCTTGAAAAGTGTTGTTGTTGTACCCAACTTGTATTTGATCTTGGTGAGAATTGATCAAGAAAGGGAGGTGGGAAAGAGATGGTGGAGTTAAAGAAGATGATGGAGAAGAGAGATTAGAAGGAGCTAAATGATCATCATCATTATGGTATTGATGGTGGTTATGATGAAGAGAGGATCTAGGAGGAGAGAAAAAAGCTTGGTGGTTTTGATCTTCATTGAGATCTATAGTGTAATGAAAACTCGAACCCATGATCGAAAGAGATCAGTGAACAAAAGAGATGGAAAGAGAGAGTTTGGGAGAGATCAGGTACAAGCAAAGAAGGATCCAATCCATACTGTGGTTGACCCTTTTTAAAGGGAAGAGACCACGTACGAGACAAAAACATATAGAGATATACATACACTAGTATAGGATTTAGAAGAATTGAGAAGATATGGATAAAATTGTTATTTAAAATAGGTTTAAGTTGTGAACAATGTTTTATTTAAGATGATAGTTATTTGAAAAAAAATAAGGAATACATTTTCTAGCAAAGAAAACACAGATCCGGACACTTTCTATCAATTAACCGTATTAGCTAGCTAACATGCATGCTTTCAAATTTATAACAGCTGGATGAAAATCCTAGATACAAGTATGTTTTAACTTTCTTAAAACGATAAAGTTACACGTACTTTGAATTCAGATCTGTAATCAACGTAACGACACATCCATCGTGAATCCATCCACTGTCGCGATTGGTCACTAATTTTTAACAACAGGTCATTTTTTGCAAAGGTGTAATTAATGATGTTTTGGTGTATATAAAGAATAAAATTGTGTGTTTTCTTAATCAGTGTGCTAAAACCTTAAACATCAAACAAAATGAAAGAGGAGCATCAAAAGAGTTACAATGAGGTGATTTGTCATTTTTATTAGAAGTTTGGTGCTAAATTTACCTTACAATATATAATATATATCCCATCTAGAAATAAGCTAAATATATGCTACGCATGCGCAAAGTATGGTATATATATATCAATGTTAAAAAAAAGTATAGTATATATATGTAACACGTGATCTTTTTACGGGGATGTGATTCATCAATAATCATTTTTAGAGAGGGAGAGAAGGGGGAGACAGAGAAGACAAGAGATAGGTTTAGAATGGCAAAGGAAGAAAACATCCCCACCATAGTATTCGCTAAAACCATTCAATTCCTTCTGATTAAATTGTACAGGTCAATCATGACCCCTCCACAAAATTTGTTTATAGAATATATTGTTTGTCTCATTTTTAATGTATTTTCAGTTTCGTGAGTTTACTAGCTAGTACATTTCTAAAAAATTATATAGTTAACTATTAATATAGATTTAACTATTTGTTTTTGCTTTATGCCGCGGATGAAACTGAATGATCGTCGTCTAGGGTTCGCAGTATACAAAACATCCATGCATTATACTATTTCCAAATCTCATAATTGAAGCTAGCATATATGAGCTTCAAGAATTCTTGTAAATGTCCACGAGGATGTGGATGACTGAGATTTCCGAAGAAGAACCTGATAGATGATCATGTTAGTTTAATTTGCAATTTTATTTATTTATTGTGAAATATGATAATTTCGAATTTTAGTAGGGACAAAGATCTAAAAAACTCGAAAAACCGGATCACAAACAAACAAAAGAAATTATAAAAGCGAGAGTCTTTTACCTTTCAAAGTTCCTTAGCTACAACTTGCTCTATGCACATACATCCAACTATAGCAGCTGTTACTTAGCCCTATCACATGCATGTCTACCTTTAATTTTTTTGTGGAGAAAAAACTTTTGAATTTTACCTTTGGGTATGTAAATGTACAAAATTAAACATTTAGGTTTTAAAAGGAAAATTGCGCTTTCTTTTAAGTGACTCAATTGCTTTTATCAGTGTTGTATATTACTTTCCAGGTTCCGAAAGTTATTAACAGGTTTAAAACATTGAAAACTTGATAAATTAGTTTAAAATCGCCGTTGATTTCAACTGGTGTCTATCAACTACTATGAGTTCTAGTTGCGCCCATTGAAACACATCTAAGGGCAACTGGGAAAACTACATGAAGAATAGAATCTGAATCACAATAAATGAAGTCAGAATCAGATAGATATGTATTTAGGAAGAAAACAGAAGTGGCATGAGAAAAATAAACGATAGAGAGATGGGATACGTATGCTGCATAGGGATCACAAACTCCAACAAGGCAACAAGTGACACTCTGAGAAGAACAACACACACATGACGTTGTACGTATATCTATAGATATGTGAATGTCAGAACAATTGGGGTCATGTCCAACGTTTTGTTACTTTTCACGACTTGTCTCTTTTTTTTTTTGGTTTCTTATATATTAAAGATTTCCCAAAAGGGACCATTACCTCTCTCTCTGATCTTCACCACCGTATCATCTGTCTTGTGACACTTCTCTTTCTCTTCGGTATTGTCATCTAATTACCTTCATTATCACATATATTTCATTCATTAATTAAACCGGATTTTCTAAGATTTTCTTCGCTATTGTCCAGAGTAATCTTTAACGTATAAGAGAAATGTGTGTATGTCGTGTTCAGGTATATACATCAAAGGATCATGAGTTTCGACTGTGTGAAGAAGGAACGTCGTCTTTCGAAGCAGTTCTCTCCCAACAATAGTCCACAAGTTATGGTAAAGAGAGAATACGTTTTCCAATAAGTACACGAATTTAATTATCACAAATAAGATATGAAGCAAATACGAACCAAAACCAAAATGTTTATATAAGAATTTGGGTTTAATATAAAGTTTTCATATTTTCATCACAATTATATTAACCATATAGTTACAAACTTTGAATAAATTTACCGTATGGTTTAAGTAGATTTATGAGACTCTTAATTAAGAAAATATGTCATATGTTATACGACAATAACAAAGTACTGTAAAGTGTAAACCCTCAATATACACTATAAACCAAAAAGGTGTATTTTAATTTTTTTTTAAATTGATCTAGTTTTCTATTTAAAACTTCAAAGCCATTTTTCTTAGTGTTACCACAACGATGAATAAAGAAAAAGTAATTGATAATGTATGAGCTTTGTTAACAAATTTGACAACTTTATTTGCTACTGGACATGGACACTCTTATACATGGGTTTATTACTAAAAGCAAAGAATTGATACTATAACGGGCCTTAGAAGAAATATCAGCCCGTAGGGACTTCAAATTTGGATGGATTTTTTTTTTTTTTTGAACATAAATTCCAATTTACGCATAAGTAAATGAGTGGAAATTTTTCTCAAAAAGGCAAACAAAAGAATAGAAATATAGATGTACTTTACTAAGTTGAATAAACAAATATTTTGATACTTTTGGAGAATGCAAATTAAACTTCTATTTTTTCAGCTTTCCAGCAGAATCATTTTCTAGCGATTAGAGATTATATATGTTTTGAACCCAAAAAAAGATCATATATGTTATAATAAAAGATAGGGAAAGTAGAATAAGTGTGTATAAACAAAGATGACATCTATGGTGTTTGTATAAAACAAGATAAGGGAAAGTTTGTATATACAAAGAGTATTGGTATATCTGTCACAATGGTTAGTTGGTGAATGTTGGGAGTCTGGATAGGGTGTTGTTAGTAGGATTTGGTTACTTACAGCCACGTGGCAGTCTCTGGATGGCTAGTCTGCCGTGGAAGGTAAAGCTTTTTAGTTAACAAAGTTACGTTATGGGATGCGGCTACTTGACTTTCTCAACTAACCACAAATGTCAACTAAACCTCATCGCATAACATCAATTATTGAATATAATTGATATAGTTGTCTATGTCCATCAAGTTAAGAATGTTAATAGGTATTTGCCATTTTCGTCACAATATTCATACTTAGCTACGACCATATATATTCTCACTATCCATCAATGCATTCCCATTTTCACTAGACGACGTACATATTTTTATGAGAAAGAATGCGGTAAAGTTTTAATTTCTTACAGAAACAAAAAGTACCTCATGTTCTCATAAAAAAGTGTCACCAGTCCCATTTTATAAACTTTGCCTAAGGTCTTTAATGTACAAGGGACATTCATCCATAGTTGAAGTAACTTGTTTAACATAAAACTTAACCATTAACATAACTTACATGTATAAAGAAAATAATTTTGTCAGATTATATAGCTTGGCATCATAAAATATACTTTAGTGCAACCGACTTTTACTATAGTATTCCACATGTTGTTTACTTTGGATCACGGACCACACCAACTGCAATATATCACATTTTAATGATTTCACTACGATCGACAAAATAAATGCTCGAGAACTTATGAGATTAATGTTATAAGTCAACAAGATTTGAAATATATAAATATGAAACTAGTATGTTAAAAGGTTTACATACAATTTAGAAAGAAACTTATTTAGTTTCAATTTTATGGAATGTGAAAGAACTCATATTTAAGGTGGCGCAAGTGGGTTTGGTTATTTGAATACTACATTTAAACCTAAAAAAATTTTAACAAAAAAGAAGCGGCAAAGCTCAATGGTAGATAGAAAAGTGAAATTTATAACTCGGAGAAAATAGATCGCAAAGAAATGAAAAATTGTAAACTACGCAATTGGTAACTGACAAGCTACTAAGAATTCAACTTCAAAGTCACCCGCCCCAAGCAACAATATTGGTGTATTGGGAGAATAGAACATATGAATTCTGACGTCAGAAAAAGAAACACATATGCATTTAATAATCTACACATACAAGTTCTATGAATCACTATGATACAGCAAGGAAATCATATTTGGGATTTACAACTACTAGAATATGACTCGTGGATTAGTGTTACATTTAAATGCTTGAAAATTATATAAGTAGTTAATCGAAAGTTTATTTTATGATATAAGAGAAATGGAAAGTAAAGCTCAATAATCAACTCAAAATTTTTTTTATGGACACTGCTTAATAGTATAGTTCAATATTTTAAATGAAAATTTATATTTTATTAAATGTAACAACTAAATGTGAAATTTTAAGTCTTTAAATATTACATTCTAATCAATTGTGTCTAAACATGATATAATAAAATAAGATGGCATAATGTGTGTCAACCTTAACATATATATATATATATATATATAGCTTCAAGAACCTCGTGAGTTCCTCCTCCAAAACCCACGAATACCACAACACCTAAAATTTAAAGTGGAATCTTCTTTACCAATTTCTCTGACCAAAATTATCAAAAGGTTTGGTTTTGCAAATAACAGAGGAGATGAGGTTGAATTTTAGGAGTAAGGCTTGGGTTT